TATCCTTAGTGAGGACTAAGGAAATGTTTCTCGATGATGGGGGTGATAAAGAGTTCGTCGTAAAGAGTTAGATCGATGCAAGCTTTTAAACCGATCCATATGACTCTAAAGTCTCAATCTGGATACCGGATACATATTGAAAGTGGGAGCAATTAGCTAGAGTAGCTCTATGCAGAGCATTGTAGACATAGAATATTTGCAAAATACATACGGCTCTGAATGTGACAGACCCATTGACTAAACTTTTCTCATAAGCAAAACATGATCACACCTTAGTAATCTTTGGGTGTTAATCACATAGAAATGTGAACTAGATTATTGACTCTAATAAACCCTTTGGATTTTGGTCACATGGCGATGTGAACTATGGGTGTTAATCACATACAGATGTGAACTATTGATGTTAAATCACATGGCGATGTGAACTAGATTATTGACTCTAGCGCAAGCGGGAGACTGAAGGAAATATGCCCTAGAGGCAATAATAAAGTTATTATTTGTTTCCTTATTGCATGATAAATGTTTATTATTCATGCTAGAATTGTATTAACTGGAAACTTAGTACATGTGTGAATACATAGACAAAACATAGTGTCCCTAGTATGCCTCTACTTGACTAGCTCGTTAATCAAAGATGGTTATGTTTCCTAACCATAGACACGTGTTGTCATTTGATGAACGGGATCACATCATTAGGAGAATGATGTGATGGACAAGACCCATCCGTTAGCTTAGCATTATGATCGTTACAGTTTCATTGCTACTGCTCTCTTCATGCTTATACATGTTCCTCAGACTATTAGATTATGCAACTCCTGAATACCGGAGGAACACTTTGTGTGCTACCAAACGTCACAACGTAAATGAGTGATTATAAAGGTGCTCTACAGGTGTCTTCAAAGGTGTTTGTTGGGTTGGCATAGATCGAGATTAGGATTTGTCACTCCGTGTTTCGGAGAGGTATCTCTAGCCCCTCTCGTTAATACTCATCACTATAAGCCTTGCAAGCATTGTGACTAATGAGTTAGTTGCGGGATGAAGTATTACAAAACGAGTAAAGAGACTTTCCTGTAACGAGATTGAACTAGGTATGATGATACCGACGATCGAATCTCGGGCAAGTAACATACCGATGACAAAGGCTTGGATAGAGGCAAGAAGCGGTGTTTTCCCTCTCCCTCGGGTTCCGGCCCAGGTTGGCACCCCAACCCTTCATAAATTGGCGAGCACGCTTGGCATAGAAGTGCCAGGAGTCCACAGTCGAGAGGGAGCGGTGAGGGCAAGACCTAGCCGACATCCAGCGCACCCGGATTACCTCCGCGAACCCCGCCTAGTTAAGCCAAAAGGTCTCAAAGCAGAAACCGGAGGGGGTGGAGGTCGGTCTTTCTCAGACAAGAGAAGCAAAGGGACGTGGTATGATCCTATCCATGTGATGGCGCGGAACGAGGTGAGGAGGCATCAGAGCTCCCATTCCGGCGAGACAAAGACGCAGTCAAGAACGGACCTTGTCGGGTCTGCGTGCCTATTGGTCCAGGTGAATCTGGCACCAATCCTACATAGCTCTCGAAGGCTGAGATTTGCGATACGGTTATTGAACAAATGCATCCGGGGGTAGTTGACGCGATCATTCCCTTG